AAAATTGTCCAATTTACCGACAATAGTACGTTCAACCCTTTTGATATGGTGTCAGACACACAAGAGCGCCCGTTTATTGAGCACGACTCTACCGGACGTAAGACACTCCCTGTCCGAAAACTTTGGCTCTAGTTTAAAAAAGGTTTTAAAAATAATGTCGTTGATATTTATCATTTGTTATATCATCGTGTATATTTACTACACAATTGTTTTGTTTAACATATATATTTTTGTGTAAATTCATTTTCCCGGTAATAATTATATTAAATAAAAATATTTCTAAACTTTTGGGTTATTGAATATAACTAAGCTTAAACATGAAATAAAATAAAATTCATAAATAATTATAGGAAAAATTAACATAATATTGTAATCATTTAAAAATTAATAAATAATTATTATTAATCATTTTATTTTGATATTAGATTATCAATTTATCTTGTAATTTTGTTTCAATCTATATAAATATATTGATTAAATTTTTAGTCAAAGGTATAAATTATATTTATTTTTAAATAAAATAATTAACAACAAAATTTTTTTTTAAATTCACGTAAATTTCAAAATTCAAATTTATTTAAACAACTTTTTTAACAGAAAATCAATTCATAATTGAAAACCAATTGTAATAAACAAGTGATGAGAAACAGAGAGACAATGATATACACTGTGTTCGCAATCATCATATGTGTGGCCATCATTGGCACAGTGGGTGCGGACTCGACAACCGGTGCCACAATTCGTAAACGGCTACATATCGAGCCGTACAGTGTATTTGGTTACGATTGCAAAAGGAGTTCCGATAATATCCTAAGCATTGATAAGCAATAATTTAAATGTTTGAGAAATGGCTGGAATCTGACCAGGGACGATCTCCGCAACTGGTCAGCCAAATAGTAATGCTTTGAATACGAATTGCATCGCGGGGTTAAGACACTGGTATGTTGTGTCCATATATGCTATTCATTGTATAAATGTATGCTTTAATATGTATTAACACAACCATTGATTAAATGTATGGTTAGGTTCACAAACACTGTCGTAAAGATGAGAGCAAACCAGACACCAGTGATAGGGTCCTGAAATCCATGTGCGTCAACAAAAATAGACATCAATTGAGTGATAGCTTTTGCAACCGTCTGTCCGGTCGGTTACCGATGGGCGCCGACTGCGACCATATCGTTGACAGTTTGGCCAAAGTTATCGATCCCTACCCGACGCCCAGTGTTACTGCTCGTCCGCCACAACATTCCGGTCCCAACCAGTCATCCACTGCCAGAAATAACTCGCAGTCGACCGGAGTTTTCGTATTATTGGCGGCAATAGTGGTGTCGATAGCCGTCAATGTCTATGGCTTTTGTCCGCACTTTCATTAGTGTTATCCCTAATTGACGTAAAATTCAAGTCTTTCATTGCAATCAATTAATTTGTTTACAAATTGTTATCAACTTTTTATTTTGAATTTCATTTCTATGTTTTATCTGTTTTTATAAATCGTTTTTTTTGTGTATAATTTTAAAACCCAAATATTTTGTGTTGTGTTTTAATTTAGTTTTGAATTTTACTATAAATTTTAATAAACTTGTGTTTTAAACAAAATATCTTAAATTGAAATATTGAAAATATTGAGTTTTCTTTGAATTTTATGGCTGAAACTTAAAATTTCAATTTAAGATATTTTGTCTTTCGAATGAAGTTTTTAAAAATTTTCTTTTACTAACATTATCAGCATTGAATGTAGTTTTCAAAAATATAATCAATTATATTAAAATCCAATTTTATTTTTCATCCCCATAGGTTAACATGCAAAATTGGCCTAGTTTGTTAAGCTGCTATGTGAAAACCTGCAATTGGATTTTAATAATTCTTTTTTTATATAATACACTTTTTATCCGTTTATAAATCATATATAGGGACTATCTCTATACTGCTAACTGTTATTAATAGACTGATAATATGACCATTCCGAATTGTCCCATATTTTGTATACCACGTGACCAAAATAAAATTATAAAACATACAAAAAATTTCCCCGATAATTCTCTATTATATCCATTTTACAGAATCTAATTATCTCTTATAGTTTAAGAGTGATGGCCAAAACGCGAGACGCAAGATTACTTGACTGCCCCTTTACTACAACTAGAAATTTTAAATAATAAAACTGGTAACTAAACATACTTATGCATTTTATTTTTTATAACATTTTATTTATTGTCTTGTTAATAGTAATATTATATCGTAAAATACTTATCTATATATGCTTTTGATTGTATAAATCAAATTTTGTCATATGTGTTAACACAACCATTGATTGAATGTATGGTTAGGTTCATAAATACTGTCGTAAAGATGAGGGCAAACCAGACAGTGATAGGGCTCTGGAATCCATTTGCGTCAACAAAAGAGACATCCATTGAGTGATATCTTTTGCAATGGTGTTACCTATCGTCTATAGATGGGCTAATTTTTTAGATTAAGCATTCACTTTATATTTTATAAATGTTACACAGATGAGACACGTATAAAGTGACTGGTTATTATTAAAGCACAAAAATAATGTTATAAATACTATGATTTTGCGGACACCTTGGCATCTCGCCTGTGAGTTATATAAAATGTAACATGATAAGCTAAGCCATAAAAATATACTAAATATATGTCAACATTAATAAAGATTACAACAATATCAAACATGATCAAATAAATATATTGTTTTATGGTTGTGTTTATGACAGTTCAATATTTGGTAATATAGTAAATCTAATGTATGGCAATTATGTGTTTTGTGTTCGTCTCTAACAACCAAATCCTGTATTCACTCATATATTTAAGTCTTTTCAACATTAAAAGAGTTTATTTGTAATGTTCTCATTGGTATAAAATAGTTAACGTATAGTATTACTTTGTAATCAGTGAAATGCTTTATTTTATAAAAAATAATTTCTTATTGACTTGTTAAATTTAACTAATCATGGTATTGTTTCTATAGGTACTATTTACACAAAACACATAGAACTGAAATGCGTTGAAATTCAATTGATAAAGGTTAATTTAATATATTATACATCACATTAAATATCAAATAACTAAAGCAACTTATTTGTGTCTTTTCACAAAATGGAGTTATTTTATATAGTTCAATTTGTTTATAAAATTAAACAGTAATTTAACTATCTTAATTCGATTATTATTAATTGATGTATTATTTTAAAAATTGATTTTACTGTAGTATAGCGATTAATTCATAAATTGTGTGCTAATAACGTTGGCCGTATCTAATAAAACTACATAATTCAAAATGACTCAAACATTAAGTAAATTTGATATTGATGACATCATACCAAACATCATCTATAATATGAAGAGAGACATCAAATATATACACGTCTTCAAAGATTATCCAGATAATGATGAAAAATCACGACAATTATTAGAATCATATTTAAACAGATATCAGGTAATCAACGACATAAGGTTTTTTGGAACCGATGAAGGGATCTATGGGGTGGACAGTAACTATGACATCGTGTTATATTCGGATTACAACATATTCATTCGGACACCAAATAAAGTAAAACAATTAACTCATAATAATTTACAAACTTTTTGCAATGGAAATAACATATTATTTGTAACAACTGATGATCGGGTCTATGGGTTGGGCAGTAATAGTGAGGGAGTGTTGGGTTTGGGACACAACCGACCCATACATATACCCCAAGAAGTAACGAATTTAAAATACAATTGTATACAACAATTCTTCATTGGATTGGACTTTATTATGGCTTTAAATCTCAATCAGGAATTGTACGGTTGGGGTCGAAATAAAACCCTCAATGGAGACACATATAATAAACCGCACAAAATATTATTATGTAAGTCACGTAATTTGCGTATTGATAAAATATCATGTTTTAACTATACAACTGTTGCTATGACAACAAATGGACGAATATTTCAATGGAAATATCATTCATTAAAAACAAAACCACCAATTGAAATTAAATTTCCCGTAATAGACAAAATTGTTGACATTATTTGCTTTTGCGATGTATCATTTGCCATTACATCTAAAGGAAATGTATTTATGTGGGGAAAGAAAACAAATTATAAGTTTAATAAAAATCCACGTTTACTACGAGATGTCCATAATATAAAATGTATATGTATCATAGATTATACCAAATTTATTATGTTATCAAATGATAAGCGTATATATATTTATGACTTAAATCAAATGACTCATATTAATAATTTAATGTTTAGTGATTTAACTCAAATTTTTTCGAACAAGACAACATTGATTGCTGCAATAAGTGATCAAAAAGTATATTATAATGAGGATGATAAGTTGTATGAAACAATATATGAAACATTTGATGCATACTTTGGTAAAGAACATCACGTATCATATAAAACTATTAACTATGATAATTTAAAACAAGACATTCATAGTTTGAATTATCACAATGGTAAATATTTTAAATTAAATATTCATTACATTTATATACCTATTATTTTAAATAAAATGTTACATTATTTTAGAAAGCAATCTTGATCAACAAATTTACATTTACGACAAATTAAACTCGTTAGGTTCCGGTAGTTTTGGGGACGTGTTTAAAGTGAAGCACAAACTCAACTCAAAAATATTTGCAATAAAAAAATCTGATTTAAATCGTAATTATGTTTTATATTATTATTTAAATTACATGTTTATAAACTAAATATTATTACAGGTAATGATTTGACACGAAAACAAAAACAATATATGTTAAAAGAAAACAAAAAATTGATAAAAATTACGCTCAGAATATGTCATTCAGTATTATTATTCGTGGATTGAAAATAACTGTTTATACTTACTTATGGATTGTTTGGCCGGAAATTTAACACAACTTTTAGAAAACAAAAAACAATTATTTGGGGAAATAATGACTGATTTTGAATATTATATATCATATGAATTATTCAAACAATTGGTCGAAAGTGTGGAGTATTTGCATAAAAATAATATCATTCACAGAGACCTCCACCCTGATAATGTATTAATTGCCAACAATGACAGTTGGAATGCAAATAGTAGATATATAAAGTTATGTGACTTCGGTTTGTCTAAAGAAATGGATGTATTGAGTGATGGATACAAACAAAGTAGTGTTAAAAACACAAAAGATGTCGGAAAACTGGAATACCAGGCACCGGAAGCGCAGACCACTGAATACAACCATTTAATAGATGTCTATAGTCTGGCACTCAATACATCCATTTCTTTAGACAAACCGAAGTCACATAACTTTATATATCTACTATTTGCATTCCAACTGTCATTGTTGGCAATTAATACATTATCAGGGTGGAAATACAACCATTTAATAGATGTCTATAGTCTGGCACTCATTGGAGCACAACTATTTAGATTTAATATAAAAGATATTGAAGATGGAAAGTATGTAATAAAATATTTTTATAAATTTTTATAAATCTTAGACTTTGTTAGAACCTGTTAAATGATTGTGAGATTCTAAGATAGATTCTTAATCTAATATAGAAGGGCACAAATGGCAGAAAATGACTAAAGTTTAAGATAGTCTAAGATATGAGATAATTTGACATTAAGCTTTAATGGAGTGAATTATTGAGTCTTTGAGATTCACTCTTAGAAAAGCAAATATTTAATGTTCAAGATTAAAGGATTCAAGAAAACAAGTTTAAACGTATCACTTAAATTATTTTTATGGTTTATATTTTTAAAATTAATATTATTGTAATAAGAATATTAATAAACTGAATCTCCATTCCAAAATTACCAAAACATTTATTGCTATAAATGCATTTTATGTTATAGAACATATTCTAAATCACATTAGCTTATATATTTTTGCATAAACCTTCTTAAATAATATACACATATATTTTATTTATAGAATGGATAACTCATTAAAACATGATGTATTAATATTAGAGAAGATAAACCAATTATTGGTTGAAATGAGTGCTAATATATACTCAATCAATGGATCGACTGATTGGAGATTAAGACCCGAATGTGAAGTCATTTTAAAGAAATTAAAGGATTTATCGATTGAACCGATTGTCGAGAAAAACGATTTATTATTTATAAATATTATGGAATGTGATATAACATTATTTGCAGATTATTATTTGCAGAAATTTAATACATTACATATCATTTATAATCCCTTTAAAAACATTGATGGTAAATTAATATTATTTTATTTATAGTAATAAGAACTTATCATAATTTTACTACAATTGATGAAGCAAAAGGTTTATAGTGTAATTGGGCTAACCCTAACGTATAGAGTTATATTTTAACATAAGACTAATATTTATTTATAAAGTATACTTTATGTAACACTTTGGAATTAATATTTAGTTAATTACAATGTTAATTTGATAGCTATGTTAAAGTAATGAACGGTACGATATTTACGTTATATTTCGAATTGTGGTTAATTTATTGATATTATAATTTTTTACAAATGAACCTTTGACATAATATTATTTTATTATTGTAGAAACCATAAAGGCAGTTTCACTGAAAATGAAAGATATTAAAGTTTATATAAAGCAATTTGATCAATTTGGAATTGGTTGCTATAAAATATGGAATATTTACATTGAAAATAATATTTGTTTTGCACGAAGTAAGTTTGAAATTTATTCTACAAAGTAATTATACATTCAATTGAATTACAGTATTATAATTTTGATAAGTCTGCTATAAAAATTTATAAAATATGTTATTTATTTTAGATCGTGGTACAAATACGAAATATTGTTTCAAAAATGTTAAAACACTAGTTAAATTGAATCCACAATGTTTATTACGAATTTCTAACTCTTGGATTGACCATGATTGTATTTACATTACCACGGAGCTTTCTTCGCAATCTCTAAAAGATGTTATAAATGCAAAACATATTATATTTGTAAAATCATGGACTTGTTTGGCAACAATTGTATGTGATTTTATTTTTTCGCAACAATTGTTTAGAACATTACTAAACTGTATTCAAGAATTGATTGCTTTGAATATCAATATTAACATATTTTTACTTAATATTGAAGAAATATTTATAATAAATGAAAATCTAGTCCATGGACAATTTATGAAATTTAATATCATAAATTATATAACCGATAATGATTTAATGATTGGTGTAAAAGATGGAGTGAGCAGAATACAAGTTAATGCAATTGGACAAATTGCCAAGATATTGTTCAACATACAATTAAAAATTAATAAGTAATAGATTAAATGATTGTACACAATATTCTGTATTATTTTCATTGATTAATTATCTGTCTTTTTACAGTAATCTTAATTACAAGTCACGTATTTTGAATATTTTTAATGTAAATGTCAACCAAATCGAGACATTGATTAATA